GGGATTCCATTGTTGCATAGCATATGCCTTGTGATGAGTACATGAGAAATAAAGTAGGTTTTATGATTTATGAGTACAAGCATGATAGTATGGTTTTACTTCACACTTTTATCTCTCGTATATGGTTTATCTTGGAACATGTCATTATAGCATATGTTGGTGAGTATACCTGCTTATATGTATAGTATCCTTACTTAGGATTTATTGTCTTGCTGCCACGTTGTCTATATGCGTATTTGTTATGTACTTGCATGTCAATCATTTTTCAAAACCTATATCTATAGTTATGTTACAGGGTTGAGTGGCTTTATACTTAGAATTTTATGCTAACGAGTTTATTTTCCTATGTGCTTTTATAACCCCTATCAGGTGGACTTGATGCATGACGAGAGCGCACATTTATAGTAGTAGTGTGTAGCTCTAGGGTTTAGTAGATGCTAGCCTTAGTCATCCTACCTTATTTTTGGTGATAGATGTTGATACTGATATAGCTAGACTACCACTTTTGGTTGGTGTTGTACCTTTTAAAAAGGGATCAATTTCTTTGAATATTCCATGAGTTGCTGCATGCGGCATGATTCCCACATTCGTTTAATAATATAAGGGATTCCATTCTTGTTCCTTCCTCACACAACCCTCTTCAATGATCACATAACTGTAAGAATTTCTGTTAAACATATTTTTTCGCTTATTGGTCCTGAAATGAAGAGTTGATTGAGGACAAGCAAATTCAAAGTGTGAAAACTTTTGATAAGCGTCAAAAGATGCTAGTTTTGAGGAGCTTTTCGAAGGTAATTTGTGCGTAATATTAGCCGTTAATTTGTATATTATAGAAATAAATGCTAAAAAATATGGTTTAGCACAAAGAAACTTTCCTAGCTGTATACTTTAATGTTTTTCAGGATTCTTGGACAAGCAAGGTGGCAAAAGAGACACAAATCGAACGAAATCGGAAGAAGCACGGATCACGACCCTAGTTAGGCTCGTGTCACGGCGTGACACGAGAGTAAGGGAGACCAAGAACCAACTTATGCCGCTGTCATGCGACGTAAGCAGGCCAAGTTCCCATTTACGCCCGCATCACTCGTGTGACGATGATGTAAATGGGAGGGCGAACGAAATTCTGGGTGAGAACAGTGGATAAAAGGGGATTTTAGAGAGAGAAAGAGGCTTAGAGATTAGCTTAGATTTCACAATTCTTAGATCAAAGTCAGATTTTATATTCTCTCACTAAATCATTATTACAAGTGTACCATATCATTATTACTACAAATTTATTAAATCATTACTAAATTCTCATTAAATCACAATTGCAAATTCATTAAATCATTATTACGTGTTCAGTGAGCCACTATTGTGGTTCATTAAGTCATATGTGATTTGATTATGTAACTATTATTTGTTCATTAAGGCACTATTACATGTTCATTAATTTACTACTATAGATACATTCACTAGTACAAAATTGAACATAGAAGATTGACCATAGGCCACCATTGTTGAAAGAATGGTTGCCTAATCTTAGCCCAAAAATTCGTGGTGGCAATTTTGTAAATAAGTAATCAATAATCCGTCACCATTATTAGTTGTAATGGCTGTCCATTGTATTTTGTATTTATTTAAAAAAAATTTGATTTATAATAGGCAACCATTTCTAATAGAAATTGTTGCCTTAAAATAGAACTTGTTTTATAATAGGCAACCATTTCTAATATTAACCCTAGATCTACCCATCACTAAGCTAGCTCCATCAGATCTGATCGATCTGCTCATCCTCTAAACGTACCATCTGCTCCATCAGATCTCATAACGCGCCGTCTGCTCGATCATCCTCTGCTCATCCAACGCCGATCGTCTGACACCGTCTCCAACGCCGATCTCCGATCTTCAACGCCGCTGCCGATCGTCTGACGCCGCCGGCCACCCACCGCCACAACCACAGCCACAGCGACGTACCCACCGTCGCACGCCCCCACCACAACGCACCGCCACAGCCGCCGATCTACAGGTGATTTTTATATATATATATATATATATATTTTTTTTAATTGTTAATATATATATATATATATATATATATATATATATATATATATTTGTTTAATTATTATTTTAATAAATAAATAAATGTGATATTTTATGATTTTTATAAATTTTATACATGTGAATTTGGCTCAATAGTACCTTGTTAATTACATATTAGGTTGTTGGATGAATTAATTAGGTATTTGATTAATTAGATTGAATATGAATTATATAGGTTGTTAATATATATATATATATATATATATATATATATATATATATATATATATTTATATATATATTGAGTATGAATTATATAATTTGATGAATTAGATTGAATTTGTTGATGAGTTAAGTATAAAATTTGTTGAATCAAGAAGACAATTTTTTAGAATGAAGAGAGGGTTATGATACACATAAAACTTTTATTCTAAACCATTGAAATATAAGAAGAATTATAAATAAAACAAAGTTAGATGTAATGTCTTACCCAACTACCTACTGCCCATATGGTTTTCAATAAAAAAAATAACATAACCACATCTGAAAAAATAATAAATTAAAAAAAAAAACGAGAATAGCTTGGGAACATCTCTATAACCATTGCGTATCCATATCTGTATAGTACTTAGAGTAGTATTTTATGAATTCACAGATATGGATAGGAGTTGGATGTTCAGAAAACGCACTACATTCCCATATATGCAACGGGTTCAAGAGTTTATACAATGTGCTGAAGAAAATAGGAGTAAAAAGGGGGAGTACTTTATTGTGTGCCCGTGTTGCGAATGTCAGAATTTTAAAAGATATCGTAGTTCTGATGAAGTGAAGAGTCATTTGATACGTCGTGGTTTTAAGGAAGGATACACAAGATGGATATGGCACGGTGAAAGCTTAATTCCTAGTACAAGTGTAATTAAGGAAACTTATATAGATAGTGAAACTCATGCACACAGTAAAACTAAAGCAAATTGTCAAACTCTTGAAGATAATGAGAAGAATAATGCATCTCATGTTAGCAATGATGAGAATGATGAAGATAATGACCGAATAGATGAAATGATGCGTGATGTGCAAGAAGATTTTAGTGAAATGCCTCCTGAATTTAAAAGTTTGTTTGACAATGCTGAAAAACCGTTGTTCCCTGGAAGTACTAAATTTACTAAGTTATCTAGAGTGCTTAAATTATATAATTTAAAAGCAAAGAATGGATGGAGTGATAAGAGTTTCACGGGATTATTAGAACTACTAAAAGACATGCTTTCGGGTGACAATGAACTTCCTAATTCAACTTACGAAGCAAAAAAAAATGTTGTGTCCTTTGGGTATGGACATTGATAGGATACATGCATGTCCAAATGATTGTATTTTGTATTGGAAAGATTACAAAGACTTGTATGTGTGTCCAAAGTGTGGAGCATCACGTTATAAAAACAAAGATGCATGTAAGAATAAGAAAGGTCCCCCAGCCAAAGTATTATGGTACTTACCCGTAATACCAAGATTTAAACGCATGTTTGCTAATCCAAGAGAGCCAAAAAATTTGCAATGGCATACTATTGGAAGAAAAGAAGATGGAAAACTGAGACATCCAGCTGATTCACCTCAATGGAGAAATATTGATAGGAGGTGGCCTGATTTCGGTTCTGAAAATAGAAATCTTAGACTTGGACTGTGTACTGATGGAATGAATCCTCATGGTAACATGAGCAGTCGACATAGTACTTGGCATGTTCTTTTAGTAGTTTATAATCTTCCTCCTTGGTTGTGTATGAAAAGAAAATACATCATGTTGTCGTTGTTGATATCAAGGCCTAAACAACCAGGAAATGACATTGATGTATATCTAGCGCCACTTGTTGAGGATTTAAAGATTTTGTGGAATGAAGGTGTGCCGGTGTATGATGCTTATACTCGAAGCAGATTTACCTTACGTGCAATGAATTTTTGCACAATAAATGATTTCCCAGCTTATGGTAACCTATCGGGTTATACTACTAAAGGAGCTAAGGCATACCCAATTTGTGAAGATGAAACTCCCAGTCTATGGTTGAGTAACTGTAAAAATAATGTGTTCATGAGCCACAGGACATTTCTCCCTACGGGTTATACTACAAAGCTTTGTTTCTTTTTCAATGCTATTTGCAGTAAAGTTATTGATCTATATGTGTTAGATGATCTGCAGGCTGATGTGGTTGTTACTTTGTGTCAATTTGAAATTATTTTCCTCCATCTTTTTTTTTTTTTTTTGATATTATGGTGCACTTGATTGTTCATTTGGTGAGAGAAATTAAGATGTGTGGTCCGGTTTTTTTGAGGTACATGTATCCGTTTGAAAGATATATGGGAATATTGAAAGGATATGTGAGAAACCGGTATCGACCTGAAGGGAGTATAATTGAAGGTTATGGTGCTGAAGAACTCATTGATTTTTGTACTGATTATTTAGCTAATGTTGAGTCAATTGGTGTTTCTAAGTCTCGTCATGAAGGAAGACTCACTGGGAAAGGTATTATTGGGTACAAACCAGTTTCTCCACCTTTGCAGTTGCGAAATAAGGCACATAATCTCGTATTGCAACATCTTTCTGAGGTACATCCATACTTGGACCAACACATGTCCCTGATAAGAGAACAAAATCCTTTAAAGGGTGAAAGATGGGTGACCATTGAACACAATCGCACATTCATCACATGGTTCAAAGATACAGTGATGAAAGACTTATCTCAAGTCAGTGAAACCATCAAATGGTTAGTATATGGACCTGATTTGCTTGTAAGTTGTTATGAAGGTTAAGACATAAATGGATATACATTTTACACCAAGCGACAAGATGAAAAGAGTGTGGTGCAAAATAGTGAGGTTACACAAGTAGCGTTATCAAAAGATTATTCAAATGCTGAGTATGACATTAGGTCAATCGGGTTTGTCTGTCCGACTCAGATTTGTCACACTATGCTTAAAAGCAGTTTCAGCAAAGTTACATCATATTTCATCCACGTCATGGAGCAGCACAAAGATAAAAACTTTATTTTAGCACCATATCATCAAGAGTAAGAAAATTGTTCTTATATTTTATTAATATAACTCATAACTTTATATTTGGAGTATTAGATATTAAATTTTTAATATATATTTGTGTTTTTAAATGTAGCTCTCATTGGTTACTTTTGGTGATTTGCATACGGTTAAAAAGCATATGTATCTTGGATCCCTTGCCTTCTAATCGCAACATAGGTTTAATTAAAGGCTCTGTGAATTTGTAAGTAAATACTTTATTATTTATATAAGTATTTTAGCAGCTATGATATTATTTATAAATTTTTATGTATGCTTATAATTATTATAAGAAATTTCGCTCTGTTCATACGAGTGCACGGGTTAAGAGCATCAATTGGAAGCCATGCAAAGTATGTATGAAAATTGAATTTAATTTTTAGTGTGATATTTTGAATTACATTCACTACAAGAATAATCGCGAATCGCGACGGAAGGGCAAAATTCCGTCGTGAATCACGTTTTGCGACGGAATGGCGACGGAATCTATTCCGTCGTCTATCGCCTTGTCATATTTTGATAGATGACGGAATAGTTCCGTCGCAAAATAAGGCGACGGAAGAAGGCGTCGCGAAATCGCGACGGAAATATTTCCGTCGTAAATTTCACAACGGAAATTATTCCGACGCTAATTCCGTCGCAATTTCTGAAACAAATGTTCCATCGCCATATTCTTTTTCCGTCGCAAAAAAACGACAGAATTGCTTTCCGTCGTATTTATTGCAACAAATATTCCGTTGCAAAATTTATATTCCGTCACTTTTTTAAATTATTTTTAATTTTTTTTATTAAAATTATTATTTTTAAATAGTAATGAATGTTTATAAAATATTAATATAAAACAACAATAATATGAAAAACACAATTAATTCTTAAATAAAATAACAAATTCTAAAATATTATCAATTTACATTAAGTTCAAGTAATAATACATTATCAATCTACATTTAGTACTTAAATCTAAACAACAATGTAATAGTCTTCACAAACAACCATTAAAATCAATTGGTCTGAGATGGAGGTGAGCATGAAATACCTGCTCTCCCGCCATCAATAGCATCAAGTCATTGCATAAGGAGAATAGTAGCCTTCAAACTCTTAATTTCATCTTGTACATTTGTAGAAGTAGCATAACATTGTCAAGTGGTTGCGATGTTGGGATTGCTCCTCCCTTCAAGCCCTTATTGCTTAGTTGAGAATTAGCATCCCTAACTTGAACAACTTTGGCTCAAAACCGAAGAATCCTGCTTCCTACCTACTGAAGATTTCAGGCAGACAATTATACATGCAAGATGTAAGCATCCGTAGTCATCCACAAGTGAGATTTTCAAGTGTATATATTAAAACTAATCTACCTTATTTCAAGTTCAGGAAATCACACAAGAATTGAACCATCTATAACTAGATCAATTGCATATTCTGGAGCTATTTCAACAAATTATGCAGAAACTCTTCTCCAAATCAAATACTTTGTTGAAAATAGAACCATACTAAAAAAATAAGTATGATCACATCATGTTTAACTATAAAACAAAATACAATGAGTAAATGATTACTAAACTTGATCAATACTAAGAATTCAAACAATCTTGTCTTCTTATTGACTATTTAAAACTTTAGAACTCAGGAACCAGATTCTCAAAATCTCCTAAATTGTAAATAAAAAACAAAAAAAAAAAATTGCAAAAAGGAAGAGCAATTGAATGAAGGGAAAACCTGGAAAGTCCTCTTGAGTGGTTCATCAACTGCAATAAAAGCAAAATGTTAAGGCCTAACAGATCCCCAAAAAAAAAAACCACAAATTTGAAGATAGAAAGGTGCGTAAGAAGAGAATCTGAGATTGAAATATCATCCATCAACTTCTGCAATTGTCTGATAATCTCTTCTGTGATGAACATCATATTATATTATATATTCTCTATCTCTCCTGCCCAAATAATCTTCTTTTAATTTTCTTCTATGACAAAGGGATATATTGTCTCTAGTCTAGTTCTTATAAAAAAAATGAGCTTCAATTCTCTAAATGAAGTTGTTTCGTTTCACCTTTTCTCTCTTCCTAGAAGTGAGAATCTTTAATTAATAAAGCAAAAACACTACTAGTTTAGCTAGATGATAATAGAATGTATAGAGCTACTGTAGAGTTAGTCCCTTGATTTGCATGATGATTGCTGATTTATAGTGACTCATCAGCATTAACTATGACAACCCTCTAATTGTACTTAGCCAATATAGTATGTTAATGGTTAATATATTTTTAGGAGTTCATAACAAGTTCAATGCAAACATAATAACTAGTCTAGAATCACATAAAAATCAATATCAAACAGTGCATACACAATGAAGTTATAAAGTCACACTAGCATTCATCAAGACTTCAATATTACAATATATATTATTTACGATAATGATGAGTGGGGGATGAAGTGGAGAGAGATTAGTGATGGGAGGGAGGGGTTCTCAGTCCTATGATCTGTTCAAAGACTGTTGAAAATGAAAAAAAAAAATCTGGAAAAAAAAAAAAAAAAGAATAACTCTAACCACTAGATTGTAGTTATGGAGCATTATTACCTTCAATAAGTCCTATGATATGATGACCACTAGATTGTAGTACTATAAACATATACAGACTTCTACATTGACAAGCCTAATATAAGGTAAATAGAACACTGACTTTCTAAAACAACAATTACTCTCTTAATCCAATTCCTTGATTGGATCTCTTTGCAAGTATAATATGGAGACACTACCAAAAAAATACAAAAAACACCACCCGCAGAGTCATTTATTAGATCTTACAGCCTTACAGGCCGGCAAGGATTTAAAATGTGAAAGCAGATGATTAGCAAAACTTTCACTCATACCTTAAAGACATTTGCAACCAGTAAAAGAAACTCTTTTATTATCTTGCTACACTAAAGAAAAAAAAAATTGGGCATCTCTTTCTACTTACTGTATATCCGACTTTACACTATACAGAGAAGCAAGGAAGAGGAACTATAACCACATATCTGACTAACAGTTGATAATGTTTTCTAGAGATGGATTTATCAATTAAGGTCAATTTACATAGTCTATTGGAAGCAGACTAGAAAAGTTTGGTTGGTTGTATAGTGGAGTATTTTACTCAAACTGGTTTGTTGAATATTGAGTTTATGAATAGGAGGAATGTTCAGGTTGCACAAAAAGGGAGCAAACAGATTACTGGGTATGGAGCCGTTGTCCACTCCATTCTTTAATTACTTTACATGCATTGTATATATCCTCCAAGTAAATTTTCTACAAATTTTACATAATTATATATATATATATATATATATATATATATATATATATATATATATATATATATATATATATTATGAAATTTTAATTATTAAAATAAATTTTAAATTCTTCCCGAGATAGCTGGCTGGAAGTGTCCAATATGGTAAAATTCGCGAGAAGGTGTCCAAGCTCGGGAGGCTTCGGAAATCTTTTGCGAGAAGATGTAATTGTGCCTCGCCATAACGCCCTGCGATACTGGAAGTTTAAAGAAACAGCAGTCACAAAAACGAGGAGGAATTTATAGAATTACCAGTCACAGACGGAGGAGGAGCAGTCACGGACGGCGACGGCGATGGCGCTCTCCGGCAATGGTGACGGCGATGGCGCTCTCGGGCAATGGCGCTCTCCGGCAATGGCGACGGCGATGGCGCTCTCCGGCAATGGCGACGGCGATGGCGCTCTCCGGTAATGGCGACGGAGATGGCGCTCTCCGGCAATGGCGACGGCGCTCTGCTGCGATGGCGTTCTGCAATGGCGTTCTGCGATGGCGATGGCTACAATAGCGTTCTGCGTCGGTGGCTGCAATAGCGTTCTGCGTCAATGGCTGCGTCTATCTGGAATTAGGCTAGCATCTGGGGGGCGTTTGGTTCAGGTTATATAACATAATCAAGGGAATGTGACATTTCAAAGCTCACATTCCGGTGTTTGGTTCATATTATTTTAGGGAATCTAACATTCCCAAGGAATGTCACATTCCCTCCACATAGGATTTTGAAGGGAATGTGATTCCCTTCAACATCTTAGGTAATGTAAGATAGCTTTGGTTATGTTAGTTTATTATATATATATATATATATATATATATATATATATATATATATATATAAAATTATTTTTGTAATTATATATATTTTTTATTTTTATTATGTTATGTTAGCATATAAAATAATTTTGTTTCTCAAGTTCAAGATTTTAGTTAATATTTTAAAATCATGTAATTATATATGATACCGTTATCTTATTTATTTATTTTAATTTTTAAATTTATTAAAATATATGAAAATATGCTAAGGATATTATAGTGTGTATAAAATATAACCCTAAACCAAACATCATTATATTACATACCCCAATTTTAACCAAACACAAAAATCTAACATTCCCAGTAATCTAACATTCCCAGCAATCTAACATTCCCTAAGGTAATCTGACATTCCGTGAACCAAACGACCCCTTAGGGTTTTTATTTTAATTTGCTTTAACAACGATAACGTTTAAAGGAAAAGGAAAATAAAATTTTAAAATTATTGCGACCGAATTAATTTTGGTCGTTAATTCCGTCGCAAAAAAGGATGTTGTCATTTTCGTCTTCATTTAACAACGGAACTAAATCGGTGGCCATTTTCGTCGCGAATTTAAAGACGGAAATTAATTCCGTCGCAAATTTGGTCGTAAATATTTTGCCGCCAATATTTCGCGGGTTTTATTTTCACTTTGCGTAAAGTTTCGCGACGGAATTAAATTTTATCGCTGTTTCCGTCGCAAATTGGCAACGGAAGCCATTCGGTCGCAAAATTGGTCGCGATATTGCGACGGATTAATATCTGTCGCGATTCGCGATTTTTCTTGTAGTGATTAAGTTGTTTAAATTAGTAAACTAATATATGTATCTTGTAGTGCCAGATCCAACAGGGAGGTCATGAGTGTGGATATTATGTCATGCGATACATGTATGACATCGTGACAAAGTATTCATCTGTTGATAATTTGGATGGGGTAAGTGAATTTAAATAGAACTATGTATATTTAAGTTATATTTTATTAATTAACATATTTAATAATTTTATTAATTTAATTTTTTGTAGGCATTTGAAAGCAATAGTCTGTATTCTATCGACGACATAAATGAGCTTCGAGAGCATTGGTCAAAGTTCTTCTTTTCCGAGTGCTTATAACTTTTATTTTATTGATAAAAAAGTATTTTGTTTTTTATGATAGTATTGAGTTGGGCATGTTTTGATGATATTATTGAATTTAAGTATGAGGATTTTAAGTGTTATATATTGTATTTTGATGATAGTATTTGCATTGTGTTTAATTTGATGATAGTATTTACATTGTGTGTTAAAGGTATCGTTTTAAAGTGTGTTGATAGATAAATTGTATTGTGGAGTAATGTTGATAGGATTTGAATAAGCTGTAACAAGTACAGGAATTATAAAAAAAAAAAATTAGGGATTTTAATTAAATAAAATAAATGAATAAAAATTATAAAGTCATCCGCGACCATTTCTAGCCAAAAATGGTCGCGAATGACTAATTATTAAAATAATAAAAATGGAAAACACGACCATTTCTAACTTCAAAATGGTCGCGTTTTCCCTTCGAATTAAAAAAAAAAACAATACGCCACCGTTCTTTGTCAAGAACGGTCGCGTATTACTAACAATGCGCGACCATTTCACAATGATCGCGTAAAGTCGATGCCTTTCCGCGAGCCTCTCATAGGCGACCATTGTACAATGATCGCATATTGTCTTTTACAGTAGTAGCGTATATGCAATTCTGTACTAGTGATTAACTCATTAAAGCAAGTTCATTATGTTATTCCTACATGTTTATTAAGTCCTTATTATCAATCCATAACACATTTGTATAAGGAATAATTAATATATATATATATATATATATATATATATATATATATATATATACACACACACACACACACACACATATATATATATATGTATGTATATATATTGTATGTATATATATATATGTGTGTATATATATATATATATATATATACACACATATATATATATATACATACAATATATATACATACATATATATATATATATATATAGAGGTTCAGGTTCAGGTGCATTTAAGTGTTTCTCGTGCGGTTATGCGGATGATTAATGTGCGCGAGTTTTGTACTTAATGTGCGTGAGTCTTTTGCTTAACTTGCGTGAGTGTGTAATGTTTATGTGCGTGAGTTTTGTGCTTAATGTGCGTGAGTGTGTACTTCATGTGAGTTGTTTTTGAAACTTTAAAGTGCATGAGTTTTATGCTTAATGTGCGTGGGTCGTGTGCTTAAGGTGCGTGCGTTTTGTATTTAATGTGCGTGAGTGTGTATTTAATGTGAGTTGTTTTTAAAACTTAAGGTTCGTGTGTTTTTGTTCTTAACATGCGCGAGGCGCGCTTGTGCTTAACATGCGTGAGACCAGGTTCAGGTGCATTTAAGTGTTTCCCGTGCGGTTATGCGGATGACTAATGTGCGCGAGTTTTGTACTTAATGTGCGTGAGTCTTGTGCTTAATGTGCGTGAGATTTGTGCTTAATGTGCGTGAGTGTGTAATGTTTAATGTGCATGAGTTTTGTGCTTAATGTGCGTGAGTGTGTACTTAATGTGAGTTGTTGTTGAAACTTTAAAGTGCATGAGTTTTATGCTTAATGTTCGTGAGTTTTGTGCTTAATGTGCGTGAGTCGTGTGCTTAAGGTGCGTGCGTTTTGTATTTAATGTGCGTGAGTGTGTATTTAATGTGAGTTGTTTTTAAAACTTAAGGTGCGTGTGTTTTTGTTCTTAACATGCTTGATGCTTGTGCTTAACATGCGTGAGACTTGTACTTAACATGCGTGAGACTTGTGCTTAATATGCCTGGGGTTGTGTTCTGAAGGTGTTTTGTTTGTGTGCTTAATGTGCGTGTGTTGTATAGTTTAAGTACGTCAGATTAATGCTTAACGTGCGTCTACCCGCACAACCGCACGGAAAGCCTCAAATGCACCTGATCCCTTCCCTATATATATATATATATATATATATATATATATATATATATATATAGGATTATATTCAAATACAAACCAACCTTAAAATACAAACGTGTGGATGGATATGATTTATTTAATTAGTTATTCATATTTTATTTCACCTTACGCCTGTTTGTAGATCAGGGAGGGTAATTTTGGGTTTTTATTATTTTTTAATTGCATTAAATTATAGGAATCCAATTAGCATTAGATATTTAATCTTACCGGATCTCTCTCTATCTTTAACGTACGTTGGCCGAAGAACCTTTCCCACGCCGTTCGATTCGTGTTCTTCGTCAACGGCGGTGGATGATGGTCGTCGGTGGGGCTGAAGTGGAGCCAAGCGACGGGAACCACCAACTCGGGGTATTTTTCATACTCTTTTGTCGTTTACAGTTGTTTTTGCTATTTGTATCCTCTTTTTTTTTTTTTTTTTTTTTTTTTTTTGCCGGGCATCTGTTGGGTGGGCGAGTTGTGTGTGTGTGCGTGTGTATGGGGGGGGGGGGGGGGGGGACGGTGGTTCACGGCTCGGATTGCAGGATTGGTGGGGATTTAGTTTATTTAGGGTTTTTTTTAAAACATTTTTTGCTCAATTTTGGGGCTGGGTGAGGTGTGTTTGGGTGCAAAGGGGCGCGTTGGTAGGGGGAAGGTGATGGCTGGGTCTGGTAGGGGGGATTGTGATGACTAGGGATGGGCGGTTCCTGGTTGTGTGAAGCTGGGGAGGGGTTTTGGGGGTAGGGGCTGCTGGTCGGTTTATTTTTATTTTGTTTTGTCTTATTTATTTTTTTCCAATTTCCAGTGCTTATTTCATTTTCGGTGGTGCTTTTGGTTGCTTCACTATCTACATTTGTTGTTGTTTTTGGTCCTTTATGCTTGAATGGAAAATCTTGGGAGGAATGTGTGGGAAAAAAACCAATGAATTCGTCAAAATGCAATATATTCCTTTAATTCTTGGGAAATTACTTGGTTTAATGCAAATTAATACCACATTTCGCATTGAGTGCCAAGCCAATGAGATGGCAGCTCTAATATTCTGTATTCCTGTATGAATTTAGCTATTGCATATAGTTCTATAGTAGCAATGTATCATTATTTCTTCAGATTCCTAAGTTGGGTTAGCCAACAATTGAAGTTGTCAACTCCTAGGCAAGCATGAATACATGATCAAACGCTGAAATATGCACCCAATTATGGTTCAAAAAGCTTACAGAACAGAGTTTTCACCTTATTCTAAATGATGAACTAAGATTAGAATATTAGAAATTGAACTAAATTTACAGCACCCCCCCCCCCCCCCCCCCCCCCAAATAATTTAAAAAGGAACAAATTTCATATTATTAAACAAGAAATTGTGCCAAACTACATAATTAACAAACAGATTGCGTACTGTGTGCATTGGCGTATGTAACTGTGTGCAATGCTTCTCGATTTTTTATTGCTTGTTTTGTGGGTTGTTTTTTTGAGTTTCTTTATTGTTTATTTTTGTGCTTTGTTTGTGTTGTTGGTGTGGATGTTGGGTGCTTGGGTTTATTGTTGTGTACGATTTTAGGTGTTTTTATTCTTTTATGTGATTCACACACATACAGGTTAATGTACTCTGTTGTGTGCATTTGTCAATTCCAATATGTGCATAAACCTGATCTTTGTGTGAGTTTGGGTTTTTTTAATAGGTGGGTGGTTCATATTTTTATTGCTTAATTTGCAGTTCATGTTCCCAATTCTACGATTAGGCCACTACTTTCTCCTTTGATTTGATTTTCGCAATGGCTGGTAAGAAATAATTGACAATTCTACTATCTCACCTTCAAAACAGCGTAAATATGGTGACTGTCTGAAAGATAGGGTATGTAATGAGCTGTAGCAAGAATGCTTGGTTTATTTCATTAATGTTTACAACTTACTTTGGTTTTGTATTTGCCTTGTAAAGAAGGATATGCTGGCAGAATTCTTCAAAACTTTGGACCCTGCGAAGTCTACAATCTGTGTAGGTTTGGATGCCAAGCGCATGCAAATGGCTTGGCGCGATTCGAAGAATAAGATTGACTGTGGAGTTTTTGTCATGCGTCCTATGGAGACGTAATAAGTAGGCCAAAGGGTGTCCAAATGGGAGTGTGGCCTTACCAAAGGAGACACTACTAAGCTCCACCAGCTCAGGTTACATTACATGAAGGAAATTGCGGCCTCCGAATTCAATATGAATAGAAGTAGGAACCTCAGACTGGTTTATCAGTTTATTTCTACTGTTTAGAGTACCATTGATTACTATGACAGTGTAACTGTACTGTCACCGGGTTTGCCTATTTGTTGGACTAGATTGTTTACTTATAGATGGTTAGAATAGCCTTCCTTGTACTGTATCTATTCAGTTTTGGGATGCCGTATTTATTACTCTATGATATTTCCAATTATTTTTGTACAGTGATGTATTCTTCTTCTCTACAAGTATGTGGTGCCCCGTTGTGTGCACAGTGTGTAATTGTGGGTGCACAACATGCATGCATCCCTCTCCACTAAAAATCGTTTCGGTTCGCTCATTATTTCCATGTGCACCAGCTGGAACTATGTTTTGCACACTAGGTTGGCTATGTTAAACAGTGTGCACAACAACACACAGCTGTGTGCATTGATTTGTAACTAGTGAAATACCTAACGAACTGCGTTTTGCCTCGTGCACACGTGTGTGTAGTCGTGTGCACCTCGTCGGTTAATTGCGTACTAAATATGTTATATGTCAATCTTGAACATTGCGTGTCATGTTTGGCAATTTGTGTAGCACAAATCTGTAGGAATTGTCAAAGTATGAGTTTGGTCTTGGTGTGTTTATCAATGTCACACATTCAATGTTTCGAATTTGGTTTTGTATTATCCCTAATTTGGTGTGGTGAGGCGTAAGGCAGAGGTGCTACCTAGTTTTTGTGTGCACTATCGTCCACTACCGTGTGCATATTGTTCAATCACGCAATCTTACTACATTGAAAACCATGAATTGTATCGGAATATTTATTCGATTATAAGTCTTATTAGAACACCCAAAAAATGTGTCTACATAGTATTCCAACTCTATTGAATTTCTTATATGTACACTCTGTTTTCACTTCATCTTTGCAGTATGTAACCTCATAGATCCCTTCTTGTACTGATTCGAAACGCTGCCCAATGTAAGGTTGCATTTCTTTATCGCATTCTAGCCTCCAATGCTTTGTACCATTTGCGGACTATTCCATTACACATTCATCTAGCCCATCGTTGTTGTTGTCGCCACCTGTGAAGCACCGCAAGAAGCCAAATGATCACCATTCCTTTAATGTAAAAAATCACGTTTTCTAACTATAATTTAAACATTCAGATATCTCCGTCTGTGTGTTCTAAGGGGTTGTTATTGGTGTCGAGGTGTGTGCAACCCCACATTTAGGAGTGTGCACAAAACATACCCCAGTGTTTTGGACCGCCCCTTTCGCCCATGTATACTCTGTAGCCTAATCATGATCACACCCATATTTGACTAGTCCATTTTTCTACATAGATTGCTTATCACTAAGACCTAGACTATTTTGTGTTCCCACTAACAGTTTTACATGCATACAGTTTCACATAGGAATTAATGTGTGCATGCACTTGTGTAAGTGTGTGCACTGTTAAACCCAATTTACCAGAAGCTATTTCTCCTACGTTTTCTCAATTCCTCAACTATGATTTTTTACAGTTCCCCCATCCATCAATTCCCTAACCTCTTTCCATTAATTAGTTTTCGAATTTATCCCTTTCATGGATTACTTCGAAATCAACAAAATCATGAAGTCATTACAACACATGTTTTCGGATTCAGGAATGCGTACCTGTTTCACTCGTATCCATCGTCTATTCCCTCGCTCCTGGACGACAGTGTCAAACTTCTCGCTTTCTGGGAAGGGTATTACGGATGCAAAGTAGAATCTGTCGACGACAATGTCAAACTTCCCTCGCTCCTGTACGACGTGTTCCTTTGATGGCAAAGTTGAATCCTTCCTTAATTAAAACACTAAAGATCGTGACATTCTGTTATTATATTCTTCATATTTATATTTCAAAGGCTTTTATTTTCAAAAAAAAAAATATTTCAAAGGCTTTACCATTTTTACCCCTTTTTAAATTTACGATCCTAAATACTACATGTATCTTGGATCAATCTCAGCCACCCAAATCCATTAATCCTATGGTCCCATTTTGTCCCCACGTTTGTATTTTAAGGGTGTTTGCATGTGAATGCAACCATATATATATATATATATATATATATATATATATATATATATATATATATATATATATATATATATATATATGGAAAATGGCACTTCTTCCCCTTAAGTTATATACTTATAGCACTTTCTCCCCCTGAATTATTCAAGTGGCTGTTTTTCCCCCTGAAATGTTAAATGGACATATTTACCCTTAAAATGAATATTTAAAATAAATATTTCATTTATTTTCCTTCTCCAACAAATAATGACAATAATTTGTTTCAAACCAAACAAACACTATAGCAACCAAACCGAAATATTCCAATTACAATTTAGAATCGAAACTCGATATTTAGAGTTTATTAAAATTGCGAACCAGAACGGACGATTCATGTATCGAACTGAAAAAATAAAATATATTTATTGTTGAATTTAGACTATTTAAAATAAAAAATAAAATTTTAAAATAAAGGCGGTTCAAAATCGCGAACCGGATCCAGAACCGCCGATTCACGGTTCAAGATCCAATTTTTTTTTATTCATAATTTTAATAAATTGAAATCCAAATATTAGGTTCTAGATCTGTATCATAACCGGAAACTTTTAATTCAATTGCTATAGTGTCCGGTTCAGTTTGATTTGAACCGTGGTCATCCTACGTATACGCGATAATTTGTTGGAGAAGTAAAATAAATAAAATGTTTACTTTAAGGGTAGAAATATCAATTTAATATATCAGGGGAAAAATCATCACTTTTAGAATAATTGAGGGGGCTAATGTGCTTACCTAAATAATTGAGGGGGAAAAATGGCTATAAGTATATAATTTAGGAGGAAAAAGTGCCGTTTTTCCTCTATATATATATATATATATATAAACTATCAATATGTTATTTATGTTTTTAAAAATATATTTGTAAAAAAATTTGTTAAATTTTATCTTTTATTTTGCTAAAATCTCTTAAAAGTTTACCCAAAATACCATGTGAATGGATAAGCGACTAGCTAGTGCATAAGCCGGTATATAATTTTTTTTTTTTAAAGAAAAAGACGAGGAAGCAGGTTGTGGTGTAGAAATGAGTAATGATGTGATCGATTGCGACGAAGAGGAAGTTTTTACACACAATTTTGGAAATAATTCTATATATGATTATATTGCATGAAATTAACCATTCTAATAATTCTTAGAAAATTGCATTTACACATACAGAGTTCATTGGCTACATGCATTGTATTGGCAAATGATAATTCACATTAAAAATAAACTTAATTCAGTGTTTTCGTATTCATTATTTATCATAAAGTTTTGGTTTTGATAGTGGTGTCAAAATGGACCAACCTTTTGAAAAAGAATATTGTACGCATATTTAAATAAATATAATGAGGTGTTTGGCAAAAGGCTAAATAGCTGATAAGTAATTATGTTATCTGGTTTGACTAACTGATTATATTAGTCGGTTGTAGGAAATTATTTGACAAATGAATTGTTTACTTTTAGTTGATTGTATGTAAAATGATATATCTATAACGATATTGTGCTAATTACTTAACTCTTAAAATTACTTTTATAATTTTATTTATTTATTTATTAGTGTTGTTGTTAAATATTTTAATCTATTAAATTTTCTGTTAGATTATTAATAATCTATATGTTTACTACTAATAAAAACAATATCCAACTTTAATTTTACAACTTCTCGCCCAAATTACCTCCCAAACTATTACTATATAATATGTAATAATTAATATGGTAAATAATAGCTAAATAAATGTGACAACTTTTATATATATTCTTTTATATTTAAGGTATAATAGTATTATTGCACAATATTAGTATACTTACCCAATAATTATTATGGTAATTAAGTAATTAATTTCAAAATTGACTAATAATTAATATGATAATTAAGATAATAATTACTATAATTATAGTATAATTACAATTAAACATTGATCATTAGATTTTTTAACCGTGCGCCAAGGTTGCAAAAAACGTTAGGCGTCCCCTAGGCGCCGATTTATTTTATTTTTAATTTTTTTTTAAAAAAATAAAATTTAACAAATTAAAAATTGTGAAATTCACTAATAAAACATAAGGTTCCTCTAGTTTTTTCTTACAAATTATTTACATAAGTGGTTGTAAAATCGTTTTGAATATTATTAAAACCATCTAAATACATAAAAAATTAAAATTAAGAACAAAAGAAGAATTTTTTGGAGAAATTAGAAGACCAAACCGCCTTTGTCTGTTTGCGATGTATAGATCTCAAAAAAATACGCGATTTGAAAAAAAAATTGTCCAAAACGGACAATCGAGTCAAAAGTTATGCATTGCCGAACTTTCTACACTTTTCAACGAAAAAAAAAAAAAAACTACAAAACGCCGGTTCGGCCGATTAATCGCCGCCTAGCCATCCGGCCGCGTAGGAGGCCGATTCGGGCCGAATCGTCCGCGGCCTGGCAACGCCTAGGCGCAATTTTTGCAACATTGGAGTGTGCAGAGTTTGGCGTTAGCTGGACGTCCTGTGACTCTTGACGATCAGAACTTGTATGTTTTCCGCAACTTGCGGCCGGAACTTCGTCCGCTGATGGCTCCGTTGACACGCGGTTCTTTGGTCACTTTGACGGAGTTGGCTGACTATTTGGTCTCACAAGAGTTCATTTATACTGTCGGGGGTGACTATGGTGCGCCGGCTGATATGACGACGAGTCATGGTCGCGTCGGGAACAGTCAGTCCCGCGGCGGTGGTGGCTCGGCCAGTGGTGGCTTGGGCGGTGGTGGTCGGGGGCGTGGTTGTGGTCGCTCCTGGTCTAATATCCAATGTTAGATATGTAATGGTTAGGGACATTCTACTCTAACTTGTTATCGCAAGTTTTCTGAGTCGCTGGGACCTCAGGCGCATATGACTTATTCAGCTAATGATGGTGGCTCCGTTGAATCTATGCGGTTTTGACACGTGTCTTATTTTATTTTATTTTTTAAAATATTTTTTTTATTTATTAAAAATTAAAAAGATTATTTATTATAAATAAATTAAATTTGAAAAAAAAAAAGAAGAAAAAAAGAACAGCCACTGACTGTCCGCACCGGACAGTCGTGGCTGTCCGGCAAGACGGCCACGTCCGTCTAAGGAAGACGGCCATGGCTGACGAAGGAAGATGGACATGGCCGACGAAGGAAGACGGTCATGTTCGTTTTCTAAATCTGGAACGAAGGCTATAGCCTTCGCCGCCGCTCTCGTTCTAGTCCCCTCCGTCTAGAACGAGGGCGACAGCCATGGCCGTACCCCTCGTTCCAGATCCTTCGTCGGACA